GTCTTATATTTATAATTTAATCCTCAAAATTAAATTAAATAAACAAAAGTCTGAGTTTCCTGGGTAATTCACACTAGGATCATAAGCAGCTGTATACATATGTACACATGGAATTATGAGACATTTTACTGAAAAATAAATATGTACGATATTGCTAAAATATTTGTATAGCATCTACACATGTCATTGTCTGTCACAATAAAACAGCTCAAACCCAAAATGTAGAGAATTGTTTCATAATATATAAGCCGGACTTAATTAATTTTTTTTTAAGGAAAACTAATAAATGTAGCCATGGCAACCAGAGTTCAAAAATACTATACTGGGCATTGATGTAATATAGTGGTGTGTAATAGTGTTGTCATAGAAGCAGCATTTTTAATTACTTAAGAAACAAATAGTTCAGGATTATATGGTTTGAGGCAGAAACTAGAGTTAAGGTGAGGGGGTCAGTCTGTGTAGTGCAAGTTGTGGCATGTTTGGGTTTGAGACATTATTAATTTTAAAATATTAATTTTCACCAGTGTCATATTCAAAATGGGGACATCTAACTCTTACAATACCTGACAGACTAAGATTCAATTTCCTATCATGCTGAACTATATGAACTATGTCTAAAAGTTGGATATTAAATAATATTATTTATAATATCACCATAATTAAGAAAATTTAAATAAATACAAATTTCAGAAAACAGATTTTAGGTGATTTTGGATTAACCAGATAATTACAAGTGAAATGTAAAGTTTATGAGACATATTAATTTGTTTTGAAATAATACGAGGCAAGTCATAACCAAAATGCAAAAGTTTTATAAATAAATTTATTACATATTTAAATTAATATTTCAGACACCTCAGAATGCTGTGGGTGTGAAGGAGCTGTATAAATTATGAGCTAAAAAGCTTGTGAAGACCTAGTTATTGCTGTGGGCTAGCTGCTGACATACCATCCTGGTTAAATCATTAACAAGTGGCAGACATCAAACAACAGGGAGTCTGCTGAAAACTGAAACCAAATCTAATATTACAAAATCCACAAATTTGTGGAGACCTAGTCAACTTGGTTGCAGTTGTAGAAACCTTATATATTGAAGTTCAAATATTTTGTGTACAACAGCATTTTGTAACTGGTTCTCTTCAAAGTCACATGGCGATGACAGGGCCATTCATTAACACATCTGTCAGCAATTTGAAGCCATAAACCTTAAGCATGGCCATGTGCTTGGATAATTTGACATGTGATTTATCATTCATATGGGATTAGACACTAAAGAAAAAAAAAACTGGTTGTGGAATTGTAGAAACATTTTGTTCTTATTTCTAATCATGAAATAAAATTCCCTGCATGGAACTGAGCGTGGGAGTTAACCCTGTATCAAATTATAGCATTTTTTCCATTCTGTAAACAACAGTCATGTTTCATTTTAGAAATCAACCAAAAAATATGTAAAATATGCCTATACATATATTAACTGTTATGAGTATAGTCACGTTTTGACAGAAATTTGTTTAGCATGTATTAACCCAGTCAACAAAGAACATTGACACTTTCCTTTGGCTTTATTTGGTGGCATTCCTCCGACAATTCAAACAGTCCCAATTTTAAAACCAACATTTGCATAACAATTGTAAAAGGTGGCCTCTTGTTTTCCTGTTTACAGCCAACATTCCTGAGAGATTAACGCTATAATTTAGAACAAATTGCAATTTTCAATTGTTAATATTAAACAGTTTAAACTTGTGGTACTTAAAACTGATTTTATTCTCCAAATGTAATTAATATTAGTGTGAAATGTCCTTGCCTTGATGACAGTGTCATGACAGCTGACTGCAGCCATATCACACCAGACACTCATTGTTGCCATTTTGAGTCAATGAGCTATGTACTCACAATTAAAGCAAAGGTTTATATATTTTAATAACATATACATGTACTTGAAAATCAGCCAATAGAATATTTTTGTTCATCTTGTATACTGAAACAATAATTCACTGGTAGGACACACCCATTAATAAAGCAGTTATGAAAACAACACCAACCTACCTGTTGTACGAGAGGTTCCAACGTTTTTTCCACCGAATAAGTCCGGATTTCTAAATCCTTTGGATTCCATTTAAAAGTGAGAGTTCCAATTGGAGATGCCATGATGAACCTTATATATTATAATTCTGTTGCAAGCATTAAAGCAGCAGCTCTGCAGGGGTGAAACAGTATGATCACCCCAGATGACCAACGTACTCAGTAGACTGATATAGCAGACACTCCTACAAGGAACAGACACTATTCAAACAATCGTGTTTTTAAATATACGGCATACCTAAATCATAGGTGTGCTCCTTGATGGGGATCCAACATACTATATGACCCCCAAATACCAGAGCTTGGCGTCCCTTTACACCGTAAACACAGTCAACTACAACACAATAGGTTGTAATGCTTTGACATACCACTCGAACATATCAGGCATTGCACTGTAGCAGTTAGTCAACTGTAGGTACTAGCATTGCCAGTGGTATGACATAAAGCCCCACTGTCCTCGCACTGAGTTGTTAAATACATGCCGAAATGTATTTATGTAATCAATACACTTAGTACATTAACATTTGAATATAGCTGGACCATGCCAACACACACCAATAGATTTAACACAAATTAAACCTTAATAGCTACATGTATTATAATACACTTACCCCAGTTGCTTGTAATATTATGGTCTGTATTACCAATACCAGTACAACAATCTGTCTGCTATATTTAAAAGCCAATAGCAGTGGCAGCAGCAGTTTCTAACATGCACATACCAGACTCGGCTTCCCTTATTAGCATATGTTCATAACATGACCTCCAGTAACTCCCATCTGATTTGAATATCAATTGACATTCTATGTATGCTCAACAGTGCTCAGTTCACAATTTGAATTGTATTCCCAGTTGTGTTGTTATGTTAATGTAGTTTCATTGTCTGTGGATGCAAAACCACAATGTACATGGTTTTTGTGTGGAGTTAATTTTTTATTGTTTCGTTTACCGCATGAGTGTGTCTGTCGGGGTTGACCACATGTTATTTGAAGTTTCAACTTGTTGGATGGTGATTCAAAATTATCAAAACAAAATAAGATAAATTCTTTTCATTTTGTTTCACACTCTCATAGGATAAAGTGAATAATGTATCAAAGATATATATCCCTGTTTTATATCATTATCACAAATTAATAATAATAACTTTATTACGCAACTTAACCATCTGTGGGTTTAGTAAGGTAAAATATGATTACAATAGTAATCACAATGTTCAACATGAGGATTGCTAGTAATTGTATGGCTCCTAGCTCAAGGCATATTTGTTTAATATTGACGAGCTGGTACAAACAATTTGAGAATGACGGAGCCAGTTACATGTAAATACAATTATAATTTAAGTAAATACATACAAGAAAGGCTCTTATAAACTCTTTACCCTTTGAAAGTCACCTTGTGTGTAAATACATTAAATTTTATATCTCCATTATCATTAAGGTATTGTTGTTTATTAAATTGCACATTCTCACCAAATAATTATCTGCTTTTGTCAGAGAATGTGAAACAAAACTGCCTCATAATAATTGTATTGTTACAGGCAGGCATCTTGCATTAAATAAAATACTACAATGAAAACCAGACAAGTTTCAAAAATATATATTAGGCAGCAAGTTAGCAAACTTTCTCACTAGTTCTCTGATAACTTTGGTATTGATTGAAGCAGATTTGCCCTACAAACAATTTTGCTTGCTTTTCAGTCCTGTAAAACATCATAAACTTAATTAAAATATTGTTTTTTGAGATGACTAGCATTTAATAGTGACTTCAGTCATAACCAAAATAGTTGGTAAATTAGTGAGCAAGTTTTATTACTAACTTGCTGCCCCAGGACTTCAAGACTTGCTTGTAGGGCAAGTAAATGATTCTATTCCACTTATACAGACAGTCCCTATTAACTTGCAATGGAAAAATGGTTATTCTACTTTAATCATTTCATTTATGATTAAATTTCGTAGGTTTGCATTCACCAAGACAAATTCTGTTACCCTAAACAAAATTTTAAATTCTTATAACAAATACCATTCTGCATGTAAATACTTTAAAACCATTGTCACTGGCATTTAATTTCCTTATTTTGATGCTTTGAGCTATTTCACATGGTTTTAAATTCACAAACTTGGCAGGGAAACAATGAGTTCTATGTTATTCTATAAATTCACACAGATTTAATTTAGCAAATTTCAACGAAAATCGCAAAACTAAAAATTAGTGAATAATTTATGGATCATCATAATGTTGGTGCATATTGCTTGTGTCATGGTTTGCATTTACATCAGTTTAATACAACAGCTTTTTGCCGACACTGATGCCAAACACCATTCCAAATTCATTTAACTACACACCTACTCCAGTATATAACATACTCACTTCTTGTTTTCTTCTTACATCACCATTTGTAAAAAAAAAATGTACATGTATGAATGACTCTAGGTAACAGTGCATTCCAGATGGTGATAATGTTGACTTTACATTTGACAGTTTCAGAGGAATGGTGAACAGATTATGAAATAAATGTGTCTGATTAGACATAGATTATGTTATTTCCTAGTGTCAGCAGACAACTCAACAGTACTATAGGAAAGATGGCAACTACGAAATAAACTGAGAACGAGAGATATGTATAAGCTATGTTAGAAAATTGAAACAGTTCAATGAATTGAAAATAAATACAAGCAATAACCACAGTCCCTCTATTTGACAGAGAAAATGTGCTATGTTCAATAGTATAGCTTGAAGGTGAAGCATTACACCACTGTCACATCAGTGAGTCACCCTAAGACAAGGTAACAGATGGCGATTTCATTGCTTCCTTGTAAAAGCATGCCCCCAACAGTGAACTCAACCCACAGATGCCATGCCTCAGATGTCTCCATGGTGACAGCGAGTGTATTTTTTTCTGTGATGAAGCTTTGAACAGGGTAAAATGTATTCCCTGCTGTAGTGGGTCATTCTATCAGTACCCACATGCTGTGGGTGCATGGGTTCACTAAATATGGGTGTGTCAATTGTTTCAAGAATAATGTTTAGTTTTCAATTCTTATCATTTTGATTTATTCATGGAGTTGTTCGATGTGATCTACATGCAACTGAGTGAGTAAAAGATGCATTTTTTTTTATTTATCAAAATGACGTACATTAGGCAACATTCTTCAAATGGACATATTTGGTTCTGAAGTCGGTCATCATTTATAATCAAATCTTTACAAAAATGATAGTTTTCAAAATTTGATGAAAATGATATATACATGGAATGGGTTCTTCTTATATTTTAGTTTTCATATTTTTTTTTTTTTTTTTTTTTTTTTTGCTACTGTTAGATGTTTTTTGTTGATATATTTTGTTATTTTAGTTCATGTAACTTAATTTCTTTTTGTCTATCAAAAGTTTTTTTTCATTAGTCTTTGAGTGAAATGTATTTTTTTTTTATTTGGTACAGCTCCTAGTTTACATAGTGAGCCCCTGTTACAAAAGGGAAGCAATAAATAAATAAATAAATATGTACACCTGTTAAAACCGAAGTATTGTTAATGTACTGCACTATTACTGTAAGCCAACCAATATTGGTGCAGTTTTCATAAATTTTCTTTTTATCTCACTTTATTGTACTTGATGAAATTCCCAATAAGGATAAACCATGTCAATAAGTTATTATTATTACATTTTCAAAGGCATTGTCTTCTTTTCTTCTGTGCAGACACACAAAACTTGTGTTCCCTGAACTATTAAAAAAAATAAAATACAATTCCTAAAACTACAAGCTGTATTTTTCTACACCCAAGCATGGAGAAACTTTTACTTTTCAAATACACGTATATAACAAATTCAATTATTAGCATTAAAAACCCTCATAGTTTGTTTTAGTTTTGTTTACAAAAATAAGCACTCTAGCAAAACATTAAATTATTCAGCTATCTGCATTGAATCTCTAACTGCCATGTACTGTGACATTTAGACCAGAACACGCATGGTGGGTAATAGCAGGCACAATGGATCTTGGGCATGCTCTCCCATTAGGATTTACAAGGGGTTTTTGTTTGATATACATTGAGGGCACTATATAGCCAAATTCAATACTTTTACATTACACGGCAGTCCAGGTAAATTGTACTAAACAGTTACTGGGTACAAAGTGTCAGTTTTTCGATGGGATTTCCTCATCAGTCAGCTGAATACAGACTTCTTGTTTGACAGGTTGCCTTATACATCCAGAGACTGAGTGCTTATTCACATAAACTGTTATCAAAGTACACTTGCATAGTCTTGTTTATTTTGGTGTTTTTTTAATAAAATAAAATACAGAGTGTATAAATGGTGCAATCTGGGTTACCATGGTAACACAGGTTTCGCCATTTACACTCATATTTTATTTTATTGAAAAAAACACCAAACAAGCGACTGTATGCAAGTCTATTATCAAAGTGAAACATTTGGGTGATTAGTCCAATTGACAAATCATAATTTGTATGTGCCAACCTGCTGGGCTATAGATAGAATACATCACATTTTTAATCTGAGACAGGAATGATCACTTCGACAACACAGTTTTCATGCTTAAATTTTATTTTCAAAAAATATCCTGCACTCCATGCAATCACAATTTGTATCTCGATAAGAAAAAGCAAGTTGCTCAACAATACTTGGCAAGTAGACAAAAAGTAAAATTTATTTAAAATTTTCTTACTAAAGATTTTATTTAACAAATGTTTGGCAGGCACAAGTGGAAATAGGGAATATATGTATAATATACAATTGTTCAAGCATAATAAAACAATAATAATCAAAATGAACTACTAAATTTGTTCAGTGAATTACATACAGTAAGCATACAACAGTAAGTCCTGATGCATACATATAACATGGAAGCACAAAGAGTAGAATTAGTTCTAATAATGAACAGATCCTGCAATGGTGAATAATACAGACTACTTAATATCTCTTCTGAACTAATAACTACAATCTTAAATATCATTTTAATAATAAACTATGATGAACCTTTGTTTTCTAACGGTGTGTTTACTGCCTGGTAAAACTTTTAGTAAAATTAGTAGGTGGGAAGCAGTTAAGTACTTAAGATGCCACACTTGTGTAAAAATTACATAAACAGAAGTAAAAATTGTGAAATTAATTTTGAAGCTTTTCACTACATGTATTATGCATTTCTAAGATAATGGTGTATAACTGGCATAGACTTGCGATGAACATGATCCCGAAATAATGTACATTCCTGGACATGGCAATGATAGAGTAAAATGATTGTGTTGGAGGCTCTTTTTGAATGAGGAGATAATCAAGCTCATTTAATTTGGTTTCCACAATCAAAACTTTCCAAGCACTTTTAATCAAAAATATCACTAAACTCACATGGAACTCTTAAAGATGGTTCTTTATTGCATATCACCATACTAGGGTATCAAAATTGCATACCCTCATCTTATAAATTATTAATATAATGTGATGTTTTGTATGATAGTTGGTGCAAAACTAGAATTTTCTTTATTAGTACTAAATGACAGGTATGTCTATTTTCAAAACAAATAATATTTGTATGATCCAGTATACAGATAATGCAATTGTTCATTCACATGCGCTTCTAATAGAGCAAATACAATATTGGGTTAATCAAAAAATATTTGGCAGGAAACCATTTATGTACTGTTCATATATTTCAGAATGTATAGTATCTCAAAAGTAGAAGAAAATCTATTCTATTGATATGCATGAATACAAAACAGTTGATTAATAGATAAAATGAATAATAAGTGGAAAAAAAACATAAAAAGTTAACATGGTAAATCTAAGTGTAAATACACAATAAAAATATTTTCTATTAATTTTCTGATTCATAAACTGGCAGTTTTATAATTTTTAACATTTAGAAAACAGTACTATTAAAATCTAATCATATAAATAGAGATGCGAGACCGCTTAATAATAATGGTCACATATTTCAAAAATATTTATTTTTATACTAAATGGTAATTGAAATTGTTGAAAGTAAATAAAATATAGTTCAATTTTTATGATGAGTTCTGTACATAACTTCATCCTATGCCTTTACTATATTTTTGAATGTCACTAATCCAAGTACTGGCATATAAAATATGTTTCTCTTTACATGCCATTAATTCAACACTAATCTGCAAAATGGTAAGCGATGTTTGGTTATCGCTGTCATAAGACATAATCACATTTATCAACTATTCAAATAATAATCTACCAATACTAAAAAATATTTTGTTCATTATCTATAACTCATGATATTAAAATGCATTTTGTGTATATACACTGGAAAGGTGCTGCAATTTCTGGCTTTCTGCTGCTAATTTTAAGATAATTACAATCTGTGAAAGTCATTCTTTTTTCTACATCTACATGTACTGTACTCTTCAAGCTTTTACACTGCTGTAAGCGAGAAACATTTACGAAACAGCTGATTTTAAGGACATAATAATACTATACAACAA